CAGCCACACCCGGGTGTGGCTCGGTAGTTTACGTTACACCTGTCGCCTGTCCTGGGTGTTGCATGCTCGGCTCCTCGTCGACTGGATTGCACCTTCTCACAGGACGCTGCCGCTTCGGTACAGCATACGTGTAGCCAAAGAGGGCTCTAAGTAAGGATTGCGGAGTACAACCGCGGAAGGAAACGTTCCCGACTGTATGCCTCCGACTGGCTGTCATACAGCGTGCGCAAGGACGGCGTGAATGCACCGAAAACTGCTAGACTGACCGATGAAGTGCAGGTTTGTCCGACAGCCCAGTAATGTGAATCATCACGCTCGCCTGTACCATCATCTCGTTTATCCACCATGATCGTGGGTGCGCAGATGGTGGAGTACCTGGGACCGACCCATCCATGTGCTGACAGCTTGGCGATTTCCTGCTTGTGAAATCGAAGCTGATCAGGAGTCATACGATATATAGCCGATTTAGCTGGGAGCTCGCCGGGGGCTAATATGATGTGGTGATCGTGCGGGCGCTTGGGTGGTAAGCCTGGCGGCAGATTGTCAGGGAAAACTTCTCTGTGTGTCTGCAGCGCTTCATGTATCTCCTGTGGGAGGTCCTGGGACTCGGGTGACTGCATCCACGTGTCGTAAAGGGTGAACTCCAGCTTGGCTGTATGCCATGGCGAGTCTTCATCATCCGAGGTATGCGTTATATCTGCTGAAGGTGTAGGGAGGACTCCCGCTGTCTGTGAATTGTCGAGGCTAATAATTGCACAGCACAAGACTCCTTGTTGTTCCGCAGGTATCCTAAGGGCAACGGATCCGTCCACTTCGGGCAAAGTTAATATCATATTCATACCGTGTAGTGGAGTTCGTAATCCAGTGGTGTTGGTTCGTGCTTGTTCGATCAAGGCTTTAATAGGCACTTTCTTTCCAGGCTTGGTGCGTTGGTTAGTTCGCTTAGGAGGCGACCGTAGAAGGGCAGCGGCTTCCGCTTCAGTCATCTCAGCCATCTGCCGAGCCAGAAGATCGTACGCGTCTTCTGCTGGAGTCCGTTTCGGTGCGGTTTGCTTTCATTAGCTCTAAGACCGTTGAACGTTTGCAACTTAAGGTGCGGTGCCTTTCAAAGGAGTATATGTTTACGTTGGCTAATGGGGAACAGCTGCGTATCGGCGTAAAGAGACTAACGATCTGGTGCAGGCAGGAATGTTCCACGGGAGATTTCTCACTTGGCCCTGTACCTTACGACCTACTGCTGGGGCGTGATTGGCTTACTGAGCACAAGGTTGCTTGGTGTTTTCAGTCAGATAAGCTGCGAACGTATATGAATGGCAAGTGGTGTGAGCTACCTGTAGTCCGAACGTGTGCGGAGAAACCCACAGGGAGTGACACCAAGGAAGCGTGCCAGCGGACCCCTGCCGAGCAGGCATATGATGCACTCGCCAGACAATTGGCAGGCATCATGCCGGAGGAGGCCACAGCATTCATACGTCCACCGCCTAAGAGATACAAGTCCCACGTCAAGACAGGACTGAAGGTCCCGATCGACTTGATTGTTCAGCAGGCCAGGGAAAACATGCAAAGTCTAAGGGAGCCAGTACAGGGGCTATAGAACATACTGGCTTTGCCTGAGGCCGAGGACGCAGTGGCGCTTAGGTTTGTGGATGAACGACAAGGGGCGTTGTGCCGTGCCTTGATTGGCCATAACCATGGACGCCCTAGCTCGGACAGTTTACACGCCCCCTGTGTCCGGCTGAACGCGGAGGATGAGCAGGAGCCACCGTGGTCAACGGCTAACCTAGAATCTACCCAGTCCGACGCGTGGGTGGAGTCCGCAGAGTGGCAGGATACACCACTGGATGTCCTTGAGCTGTTGCGTGCCCATCTGGAAGTGTTTGCGGAAACCCTGCCTACAGGGTTACCGCCGAAGCGGCCACACGATCATCATATCCTATTGGTGTCTGGGAGGCTTCCGGCAAAATCGGCTATCTATCGCATGACACCCGATCAGCTGCATTACCACAAGCAGGAGATAGCTGAGTTATCGACTAATGGGCGGATAGGGCCCACCTATTCCCCTATTTGTTATCCTACGGTGATGGCGGATAAACGCAATGATGGTTCCGGGGCGCGTAAGACGCGTATGGTAGCAAACTATCAAGCTCTAAATGCTCTTACGATAGCTCCTGACTTCCCACTACTTCCCATCCAAACTATATTAAAGATGCTGGGAGGTGCAAAATACTTCTCTACTCTCGATCTAAAAGCGGAGTTCCAACAGATTCTTATATCCAAGGAAAAACGATGAAAGACGGCATTCCGCTCCGTAATGGGGCTAGTCGAATATAACGTCATGCCCTTTGGCATCAAGGGTGCGCCAGCTACCTTTCAAGCTAACATAAACGCCAATCAACATACTAGAGGTCAGGGTGTAGTGCACAGGCACTACAATGGAGCTTTGGTGTGGCCCCTAGAGGGCTAAAATCATGAAAAGGAATGGTTACTGTATAATGGTTTACGGATTAGGACAGTTTTAAATAGAAAGCAGCTTAATAGGATCAGAATGCTCTCCAACCGGCGCCAGCTTGGGGCTGGTTGCGAGGCTGCTGCTGTGACCCTGGCCCACGCCCTCGGCGAAGGGTCGGGCATCAGTTCTATTATTTTGGGTTTTCTTTTTGAACACTAATAGGAACTCGTTCATATATTTGCTCGTTAACGGTCTTTTTTAGTGGTTTCAGCGAGAATTAGAGGCTAAGAACGCGATATAGCGTGTGCACCTATTCTGTCTAACCTAGGGATATATCGTAGTAATAGCGCAGGCCAGCTTGCACTACAAGTAAGGGGAAGACGGGCCCGTATTGGACTGACTTGACTTCGTTCACGTTGGGTCGACATTCTTGCCTTTATGGAGTTAGGTACACCTAGCACTCCACCGTTACGTAAGCGCATATCTCTTTATCTTCCAACCCCCATTTTTTCATTCTCCTTCTCTATGGTGTCGCTACTGGGATGTTCTACGGTTCTGGGGTGGTGATCCTGTCTGCTTAACGCACTAGACGGTGGCTCTACCGGGCGGGTTGGTCTTTAACCTAATCACATCGTGGTTGTACCTCCATTGGTCGAGTGGAGGTTTCGAAGCTACTTTACACTCCTACTCCTCAGCCTGTACCTCTACGCTGTATCTCGGTCGCCTCGGAGGCCTCCCAGGAGTGCGTTGTTCTGTGTTCTTCTCGGCTCTGATTCCCAGTGTTGTGTTTGCTCGCACTTGCAGCTATTTCGGGCCGATTAAGCTCTTCTAGGGGTCAAGGCGGATTGCCTAACTATGTTGTGCTTGTGTTTGCTCCTGCTTGTGTCTTCCTTTAGGGCCTTCGTATTCTTTATGATAATGTGGTGCGTGTGCTGTGTTCAGACTATCTCCTTCAGTCTCTTCTCGACGTTCCGTCTTTCAATTCCTGTAGTAACACTAATCCGCTCCGAGCTATTAACGCAACGTCCAGTCCCTATGCATAAGTGGGAGGGCTGTGCCCTTCTACCCTACTTCTAGCTGTAACTTCAGCTACAATACATTTGTGGGTGCCGTAGAATTTTGCTAGTGGCAAGCCTATCGGTGTAATCTCGTGACTAGTCGCCTCCAGACTGGTCTTATACATTTCGTTGAGCTAAAATTTATACTTTTTCAATAATTTTATCTGCTATCTGCTGGATTGAGGTATGGTAGAATTGTACAGTGATGCCTACACACCTTCCTAGATCGAATTAGCGCGAACTGCGAACAGGATGAGGTATACGTATATTAGGTTTGCCAATCCTAAGGTGGTTACTATTTGTATCACTGTTCTTACTATTAATGCCGCTAATAACACCTCTAGTGAGAGCCTTGGTGGTTTGTAGGACTAGCGCATAGACCTCTATCTACACCGATTGTATTTTAGAGCCAATCCTTCTCCAAGGTGGCCAGACACTTCATCTTACCAACTATTACTAATATCCCTGCCTCTATTATTACTAATCTCCTGACACTTAGTGTGTACGTACGTAGACACTCTATTGCTAATTGAACACAATTTCTATTTTGTCCTGCTCACAGCCATCCAACTCTCATTAATCTGGCCTTAAAAAGCGTGCCCTGCGCTTTGCTTCAGTTCGGCACCGGCATTTCGTGCGCGCGGGTGTCGAACGCAATCTTGCGCCTGCCACCAGGATGTCTGAGTACGCGATAACCAGACAGCAAGGCGCAGTGGTAAATAAACCGGCGACTTCTGCATTCGTAGTCCGCTTATTTTGGACATTGGAAACTCTTTTTCGCCATGGTTTTCGTGAAGGGCTTGAGTACACGCACTTGCATCACCGTCCATTCTCCGCTTCAAGATGAGGAGTTCGCCTGTACCTGGGAACAAGGCTTAGTGCTGCGACGGGAGTGGTTTCCATGCGGTGCACTGTGTGTCCATGCATTGGACACGCGTCTGAGACCTCTTCCTTCAACTGTACCGAAGTGTGGATTGTTTTGGGTTTTAAATTGATTAAATACCCCAAACCAACGGTCTTCGTATGAAGATGACGGCGGATTGCATGCATCCCTCCGCCGTTTCCCGCAGCGCCTCTCCACTGCGGTGGAGCTTCGTTGCTCCCTTCTTTTTGCAACCGTATCTCCACTTCCCCTAAAGTAGGAAACTAAAAAGCCGGAGGATGCGTTGGGAAATGAATCACCTGGACGACAATCGACAAAGGGCCAAACAGTGTCGTCTGGAGTCCTCATCCCTTGTATGCTTGACTCTCGGCATGCATAGAACTACGTCGTTGTGAACTGCTCCAAAAAAGAAGTAACAGTATAACATGTATCGTTGTAACATGCCACAATACTAATTTAGGTCTGCATATGACCCCACATAGATGCACCGATCCTCATGTCGTGCCTGTTTTGTCGATACGTTGCCGGCACGCCTATTAATAGCAAAGCTATTGGGAAACGTTACAGTTTGGATGATACATAATAAGAAACTAGGTCCAACCTACCCTGCTGGTCTGATCACGCAGATGTTTCCCAGAAACAAAAGGTTGCCTGGAGCGACGGTAGGGTAAACGGTGACAGCAGGAGAAGCACAGACGGGTGTACACTGAAAGAGAAGGATAAAAGAAACAGGGAAAAGCTCGAACGACATGGCGGCAGTTACCGACATACACACTGACAAAGATACACAGAAATCGAGCTACACCAATTTAAAAGAAGCGGAGCACCTGTCACAGGAAAAATAAATGCAGCATAGTGGGCGAGCGCGTTAAGAGTTTGGTTAGCATTGCCCGTTACAGGCCACCGCTTGTGTGACTTGAGGCTAAAGTCACTGGTAGGAAACAGGAGGTAATCATCTGCCTTCTCTCGATCATACCAACACCATAAATTATGAAGATCGCGTGGCGCTCTTCCTCAGCCCACAACAATCTTTATTCATCAGCAGATTCTGGAATCTGGACTCCACAAACCTTGGCAGAAGTTGTAAGGCGACCTACCAAACAAATGTGTAGCAGGATAGCTGTACGCACGACACTACGTGGATCCTGTAAACGCAAACCCCAGATTATCGAACTTTATGGGAGCCTACTTAGATCGTGAGCCATCGAGCGTAATCAATATATTTAAATGCATTTAATCCATTAATCCCTGGATGCACGGAGACGGCAACCAAACTTCAATTCCTGAAGTGCTGACCCTAACTGCTTAGCTTTGAGCTCTAAAAACGTTACTGTTGACACTGGGCAAATCAAAACTGGATCCTACACCGGAGAAGGGATCTCCGCAATGATAACCTCAGCGATTCTTACAAAAACTAGAGACTCTGTGCAGTGATATTTTTGACGTTGCTATTTGGAACACTCACATGTTGTCAGCTGCCCTGCATGCCCCGTGCTTTCATATAAACAGGCTGTGCATTCCCCTCGTTCATTTAGTTGACAGGTGTAGTGCCGTCGCATACATTGTTTGGTGAGCAAAGCAGCCTCTTATCCTCCTTACAGAACAGCCGGATATTAAAAATCACTTGCTCTGTTACTTACCCAGAAAGCTTCTCGACAGCGTTCATTAACGAAGTAAAGTGCAAGTGTAATGCTGACAGTGAAACGTACTTACTACAATGCAGTTTGATCCACGGTCTCGTATGTCAAAAGTACATGGTAAATCCTTGTCCAGCGAGAAATGCAGCGTCTTGCTGGAATTCCGCACTTCGCTTCCCGCCAGACGTGTGCAGCTGGAACTACTTGACTACACGGCCCGCTACAGCTTGCGCTCCTCTTTCCCGCAGTCGTGCGTGTATAAATTCGCTCTAATTATCGTCGCCACTCTTTACGACACTTCATTTACCGAGTTGCGCTGCGTGCGACCAAGCTAGTAGCCACAAATACCAGCACAAAGATTGGCCTGAATACACCTACACGCTACGCCCTCTACGCTGCGGTGTTTTTGCTTTGCGTATCCGTGCCGAAACTTGAGCGGCGTGGCCTGCGCAGAAGTTGATTCACCGCGAGAAAGACGTGTGCCCCTTGTGCAAAAACATTCCCTTGGCTTGTCTCCCCGAAGAAGCTGTCAACTGTCTGGGAGGAGCACCAGCGCGGCCTCGGCCTCAAAGGGAAAATTAGCGGCAGTAGCGGGTCGCAAGGGAGGCAAAAATAGGGTTTCCTGTTGAAGGGACTGCCTGTATTGCAAGCAATATATCATGCGGAGCCTGCTATGCTTCGCATCGAACGGCGAAGCATCACTAGCACTACTCAAAGATGGAAAGACTCCAACGAAACTCGAATAGCGGTTATATCCACAATTGTAATTCTGGCGGGCGTTTTTTTTTCACCTGGGGTTCAAAAATTGTTTCCCTCGCCCGATATGATTCTGGTTTCAATTCGTAGTTTCACCTTGACAAAATAAATGAGGATATGCTATCACCTTTTAGGATGGCACATCTCTAGATAGCCTTGCCCAGAAGGGCACAGGTTCTGCGCGTCAACTTAATGCCGCAGCGGTCTACCTACCATGGTGCCGCCGCCAACGCTGCAATCCACCACTGCGGTATGCACCGTCGAGAGGCATTCAGCGCCGTAGAGATGCCACTCGGCTTTCGTGCATGCTTGTGCCCGATGCCGATTATTATATTCGCCTCCCGTTCAACGCACCACGCACTGGTAGTCTCTATTGCATTTTGGCACTCTCCATTGAGCAATAAGGCTTTCTTTCCCCAGTTGGCGACAGTAACGCATAGGCCCTTTTTTCAAATTGACCTAGACTACATTTTTTTGACAAGGCAACTTCCTGCTGCTGCACAGTTTATATGGATCAGGCAAATATCCCAGCCACAGTTGATGCTCGACGATAGGTCCAAATCTGGGTGGCCGCCCTCTCATTGCCGCTACAGGCCTTCGCACGCCAAACACCAACGCCAAAGCAAGGAATCAAAGTTTCAACCATGTAGTCGGCGTGATGCAGAACCTTCACTGCCCTGAGAAACAACGGTAAACGCTCGGTGGAACGCCGCCGCCTACATATAATACAAGAACTACAAGCATAGTTGTCTTGTTCCAAGGCCCGCATGTAAAGGGGAATATTCCATTTGTGGATGATTCATCCTGTTGCATGACCCTGAATGAATATGCGCAGGGGAGCCTAACCAAGCGGGCTGGCAGCGCACCTACCAAATGCGATAACAGTAAACGCAGGATAAAACCATAAAAAAACAGAATGCATTCCTTAGAAGAAGCTACGCGTGATGCGTACGCAACGCCCACTTCAACTTCAGCACTCCCGCTGCAGTCCGCCTACTCCGTTGGTTCACGTTGTATCAAAATGAAATCGGCACGCTGTAATTACATACAAGCGCATGGGTATTCTCCAGCGATCGCCGTATGCTGTCGAAAAGGCACTGTAGAGGCCATAGATCTGCGCGGGGCACAGCAGATCCAGTCCAGACGAGTGTGTCCTTCACGGGGTGAACAACGTCATGCGTGTCAGGCCAAGACGCGAGCTAACGCCTACGGACGCTGCCCAAACGGGCGTATATGCAATATCAACATCAAACTAATTTATTCCACCAAGCGCTGCGCATACGAGCCCTGCTGCGGATTGTCCATAAACTATAGCGCAGCCTGGGTATGCGAAAGACTGTTGTCTATTCACCAGCGCATCTATGAACGGAATGCGCTTACAAAACTAACCTGCCCCATCCTCGGTAGAGAATGGAATTCATTCAGGGGAGGCGCAAGAATTACATTCCATGGAGGCGTTTTGTCAAGCTAGATGAATGCAATCGGCAAATAGCAGTTCACGCGTTAGCAGAACACACCCCAGAGATACCACTGTGAATGGCGTGTTTCCCAGGGGACACTCGCCGTGAAGCACTCCTCACTGCAACATCAGTTATCCCGCGAACAAATACATACAAAGAAGAAAAATCGTTGTTGTGGTTCTGTCTAATAGCAGTGGCGACGATGCACGGTAGCACCACTCCACTCCCTTGCTCGACCAAATGCACCCA